ACCTAGCCACCTACCTACCTACCTACTTGATGTGTCGATACAGACCAGCCTCGGGCGGATCTTCGTTGCACGTCTTCGACAGGTCGCTGCAGCGCGACGGTGCAGGCGACAAGGACCGCTTCGACGAAACGCCGTCCAAGTCGTCCTGATCATGGGTTTAGGGTTCAGGGTTTAGGGTCTAGGGTTCAGGGTTTAGGGTTTAGTGTTTAGGGGTTTAGGGTTTAGGGGTTTAGGGACCGCTTCGACGAAAGGCCGTCCAAGTCGTCCTGATCATCCTTCGAGGGAGTGCGCAGCACCCGCAATCCCACCCGGTCGTGCCCGGGCTCACTCGAAGAGCCAGGACGGCCTGTAAGGGAAGGATTGAATTTTGGTGGATCTGAAAGGTAGGGTTTTAGGGTTTAGGATTTAGGGGGGTTTCAGGGTTTTGGGTTTATAAGGGTTTTAGGAAAACCTCAATGTCACAGCCTCGCCCGACAGAAGAAGGGGCAACCGAATCAACCTCCGCGTCGTCGTCGAAGCTCAACGGCGGGTCGTTCACGGCACGATCGATGATGTCCTGGGGTGGCTGCGGGATCGTGATCAGGTGATCCAAGATCCGCTTCTCGACATTGTTCGTGACGAAACACTGGCGGGTGCGGTCGGACCAGCATATGTTGGGATTCCATGAATCCGGCCCTGCCAGTGGAACTGGAAGTCGGATGTTCTCAGTGCCATTCGAGATATGCTGGGATCCATCGGCGCCATTAAAGACGGACATCTTTGCCAGCGCGTACTTTCGAAACACTCGGTACTTGCGAAGCTCGGGGACCAACACAGCCAGGGGTCCTGGGATGATTCAGGTTATAAGTAGCAAGCGTTGCGTTGTAGTGATACATGAGTCTGAGTACCTTCACTACCGTGAGTAAATTGGGGCTTTTACTCTATATTACGAGAACCCGAAGCAAGTTACAGTTACCCCCAATAAAACAAGACCACACAGACGAGTTATCTTATCAATCTTAACTACAGGGTCTGCCCAAATGCATGGGTGACCACCTCACTTATCGCTGGGGACCATCAATCGAAGAGCGGCGGTCAAGGTGTCGCTCTCCGCTGCGCTTACGCCTCTCATGCTCGTTGGTGAACCAATCGAACAGCTTCGCACCTGGCCCGTGGAACTATTTATTTGAAGCTTCACAACGACAACTGGACAAGTCCACCAACGAACTCTCACACACTCTCTCTCTCTCTCTGTCTCTCTCTCTCTCTCTATCTCTCTCTCTCTCTCTCTCTCTCTCTCTCTCTCTCTAGCCACAACCCTCTTCCAATCAACGAATCTAATCGTGTTATACAATGTTCTCTAAGTCTCCAGCTGTCAAAAAAATCTCTGTCTCAGTTTTAGTTGCAAGAACTGAGGATGCCGCGCTCGAAGGTCGGGAGGCGTTGATCGAAATTACGCCCCATCGCAAAACAAAGCACATCCTGAGTCTGAGTTTGATCCCGCGTCGATATACTGAGTTTGCAAGCTTATGGGTTCATGAGCAGCAAACCCTAGCCAGTACACGCAGTCCAAGAAACTGCTCGATCCTCGGGCGTAAGGCTCTGGATTTGCGTGTCGGTACATGCGATCGGATCCACGCACTGGAGCGCACGGTCCAAGTCTTTCTCGGGCAGTTTCCCAAACGTTGCAAACTTCGAGTTAAGCTTCGCAGCCTCCGCAGACCGTCGTTTGGGCTGGTGCGCCTTGTCTCCCTTCTTCTGAGAAGGCCTCGGATTCGTCTGCCGCCCACCACGACGGCCTGTATGCTGAGCGGCTAGAGAGGCGCTGTTTGGGCTTGGGGTCAGGGGCTTGGGGTTTGGGGTTTTTAGGGTTTTAGGCTCGGGGTTTAAAGTTTAGTGTTTAGGGTGAGGGAGGGTTCTAGAAGGGTACTATTAACGCTAAAAATTTAGGGTATACGGTTTAGAAGGGTCTAGAAGGATTCCAGAGAGGGGCTCATAAGGGTATTATATAATTTTAAAAGGGTAGGGTTCTATCACACTCAGACTACTAAGCCACGGCCTTAACTTAAGTCCCAAAGCCTGAACCCTAAACCCTGAGTCCTAAGCCCGGAACCCCCCAAACCCCAAGCCCAAACCCAAACTTAGAGTCTAAGTTTACTAGGACTTGACAATGAGACGACCCTGGTTTCTCCCAAACAACAAAAAGCCAAGAGTGGTCGTCAGCTACCGTTTTGTGCATGCTCGCGCAATACGTGTGTTTTTTCAATGGCATGCTGGTCCAGCCTGGGGCCTGCGGCTTGTCATCATCTGTGGGTTGCGGAGCGCCCTGAGGAGGCGGAGCGCACTGAGGAGGCTGCATGATTGCACTGGCAGGCCGTCCAGGGGGCCGCATAGAAGGCCGAGCGGAAGCCCCCGCAGCCACAGGCACCATGGCGAGGGGATTGGGATCTGCCATTCGATGCACTGCAAGGCACCAAAAGGCAAGGGACACTCAAAGGTCCAGCGCTGGCCCTGGCACTGCACTTGACGCGCGGCGACTACAACACAAAGCAGGCATTAGGAGCTTGCAACAGCACATGCGAACTGCACTCCATCTCAGAGAGCAATAAAGCCCGCACGTCCCTTCCACTGTCACTGATCACTGTCCACGGTCATTCTGTGGCCGTTTCTTTAAGGCCGCCATCCAGGTAGCCAACAGCACACCTATGCAGCATATATGCATCCCGTTGCCAAGTTGCTTGCGGGCATCGGGCCAGGATCTATACCGTAGCGGATCGAACAATTCAACATTAGCGGCTTCGGCAAGGCAAGCAAAAGTAGGGAAGCCCATGAGAGCATACAACTCTTTGAGTGTAACTTGCCGGGCCTTTTGAACGGCTATGTACAATGACGTTGACCTTCTCAAAGTAGGAACAGCATGTGACTTGGCACTCCAGTTAAGCCACCCCCCGTCTCGGGGATTATCACCTATGTGCACGACAAGGTCCTTCATCTTGCACCGTTCCTTGCTGTCAAGGCTCTGATACTTTCGGACATACTCAGGCAGCCTTTGCAACTCTGGCTCCGTGAGCAATGTTTTCAAAGCCACTTTGCCAGCTATCTCCGCACGTCGTAAGTGGTGCCGGAAGGCGGCGATGTTATGGGCATCCTGCTGAACATCCTGGTCCGACGACAGCAAGCAGTCGCTGGGCCTAGGCTGCACTGCATGGTTTGGGGGGAGTTGAATTCAGTAAGGCTGGACAGTCAACTGAGTGCCCATGTGAAAGAAAGGCTGAGAGGGTCCGGGTCGCTTTAGAAAATGTTCGCGCTTGAGCTGATTCTGAGTAAGCTCCAAAAGAACTCGGACGTCCTGGCCATTCCCCTCAACTCGGTCGGGACGATGTCCAAGACTGAATAACCTGTCGCATGTACTTGGGTTTAGGGTTTAGGGTTTAGGGGTTTGGGTTTAGGGTTTAGGTGTGAGGGTTAAGGGGTTAGGGTTAGGGCTTAGGGTTTAGCGTTCAGGGTTCAGGGTTTTGGGCTTAGGGCTTCGGGTTTAGGGTTTAAAGGTCCAGGGTTGAGGGTCTAGGGTCTAGGGTTTCGGGTTAGGAGGTACCGACTTGTATGTAGTGTGTGTGTGTATATATATATATATATTAACTTATGTGCATATGTATATAATATACATATAGATATATGTATGTATGAACATATATATATATATAGAAAATGTGTGTGTGTATACATATTTATATATACATACGCCTGCATATACAATTATTTGTTGATTCTGTGCGAATGAATGATTAGGGATATGAAGGCAAAAGGTGCCGGGCCTGTCCCTGCGCATGGCAGTGAAGCCGAAATCCTCTGGAGCGGTCCATATGTGTTGGAAGTTGAAGCTGGGAAGACAGTCAGTCCGAAACCATTCAGGACATGCCGGAACATTCTCAAAACACACCAAAGCTGTCGAGGTTGTCTGGGCCTTCGTTCCATACGCGATGTGCGTTCCTGCAGTGGGTCCATTCTCCCCGCGACGCAGGCCTGCAGAGCTGAAGTCAACGCACGGTGGACCGCCTACCCGAAGCAGCGCACCTGTGTCGTAAGGACAGAACCCCAAATGCCGAAGACAGAAACCTCTGTCGTACACTGTCGCATGATCATAAATTGCTCGCTTCTTCTCCCAATATGTCGGCTTTGTCTGCAGCAAGTCTGTCCATGTCTTGCCGTTGCCGAAAACGTCCATGATGTCTCCGAAGATACAGGATTGCAGCGGTAAAACATTCAGGAGGTAGGACTGGCAGTGTGGCTCCACATCCTCAGACTGCTTAGTAGTTTCGAGGTCGTATTGCAGCTGAAAAGTAACAAGTGTATGATCTTCAATCCTAGGGTTTAGGGCTTAGGGTCTAGGGTTTAGGGATTAGGGTTGAGGCGGCCTAGGGTTTGGGCCCATTGGGGATTAGTCATCGGACATCTTAAAACGAACGACCAGCCAAGGAACACATGCCGATTTCGGACGCAAATCTACAAGAAGCCCATGCTTGCGCAGGCCCCGGCTGATCATGTCCGCAGCCAGTTCCCAGCAACCGTGCCCGCTGAAGTCGGTGTCGGAACCCTCTGTGTTCGCCAACATGGAGGAACGGAGTTCATCTTGGGTCATTCTCTCCGAAAGGACGTTCCAAACAACGTCGGTCCATGCGAATCGAGCAGCGAACTCATTTGCGAACACCATGGCGGTTCAGTGTTCGCCGGGAGGGGAGGTGACACGGATATTAGGGTTTAGGGTTCAGGCTTCAGCGTTTAGGGATTAGGGTTTTGGGTTCAGGGTTTAAGGCTCAGGGATTAGGGTTTAGGGTGGATATTTAAATTTCAGCAGATTGAGAGTGAGAGCGAATCGTTTCCCCGTAACTGATCTGTGAGTCTCTACTCGACCAACACTCAAAAGTGAGACATGTCGCCTTGAGAATTATTATACCGCAACCCGCAGCGCAGCAGCCTACGAAGTTGCACGTGGCACGACCTGCTACCCCCGAAGCCAAAACTAAACCAAACTCCACACTCAAAATTGCACACACCACATGCTAAATTCCTGAATCCTACACCCTCAAAGACTTTACAACACCCCCCCTGTCTTTCACACTCATAATATTCCATAGTCTATAGTAATTACATGCACCCAAGCCATTTAAACCTTAAAGCCCCAAACCCCCTAAAGGCCTTGGGCGGCAAAGCAGCCCCAGCCGCGAGCTCTGGCGCCCACAGCGTGTAGAGGGCCATCTTGTCGTTTCCAATCTTGCCGGCATCCGTCAGGACCTGGGCTCATGAGTGAACACAGAAGGAGTGAACCGGAACTAGTCATGCTCTGTTCATGGGCGGCTTCGGGGGACAAACATGAACACAACCTTGTCGTCGACGAGCGGCCTGCACATAGTTTAGATCCTTGAATTCCCGCTGTGCCCGGTAGATGTACGCATCCGCAAAGATCTGTGCGAGCAGTGACCCATGTAGAACCCTATGAGAAAGATCCCTGGAATCGAAGGGAACTCTTATAGCACCCTGGTAGTACGCTCAAAATGCCCTTAAAGGTTCTCTCTACGAGGATCAGCCCCCAAAAAGCAACAGCACAGGATTTGGGGTTCAGGGTCTATAGGGTTTCAGGTTTCGGGTTTAGGGATGAGGCCTCGTGAGCCGTGGGATTCCAGGCCGTATCTGACACCACCTCCCACGCTTGCTGCAGCGAGCGAACTTCAGCCTGAGCCATCCCTAATTACCCTAAAGTTAATCAAGCCGGCCAAAGGA